TGTAATAAACATTATGTTCAGTTTCATAATAATATTATTAATATTTTATCAAAAAAAAAATGTGTACTCATCAAATATGTATAGCGATCGATTTTGAATTACTTTATTGTTTTTGTACATCTGCAATCTGCATATGCCTGGTATATATATTGTGATACATCATACCGAACTCAAGACATACCCAGTCGTCCCTCTCTAATTTTGAAACGTTATTTGAGCTTGTGAATGCGACTAATACGACGCGTATAATATTATATAATAATATTATCATTGTATTACTGTCTGACGATGACAACAACAAGCGGTCTCTCAGTGTTTATATTACGCTTGGGTTGTTTCTGTGCGTGGCGTTGTCTTCAGTGCCTACCTACTCGACGGGATTTGATTATGTTTGCGAATAATCAATTACGTGGAGATTAAGGTTTCGAATGAATGGGATTTCGTTGTATGTACATGATACGTCAAACATACAGAGTGATAAACCAAACTTTTCGAACCCCATTTTCCCTTTAATTATGCATTTGTTCCAATTCCGATTTTCGAAATTTTGAACTTTTATGTAGGTACCTATATATACTTCGAGACTACATTGTTTTCAAATAATCAGATGTTTGCAGGTATTTGAGAACGCAAGTATAAAATATCATATTAGATATTTGATACACTTTCATCTAACCTAACCGTTTTTGAGAGGCTATTCAACCCTTTAGAAAAAACGATACATCCAATTCTTATCATTCATAAAATTGTTGGGGCACACCTACGTCTCACTAACGTGTGACATTCAGATAATATACTACGGTTGGATGTATAGGTCTTAAATTCGTCAAAGATTCTCGTATATAAGCTTTACAATACGATTAAATACTATACACAAGCGTATATATTTCCATAAATAGAATATTCAATAGATGATCCAAATGCTCATCTCGCGCGTTATCATCTCATGGCCGTTTCCTTGGAATCACGACACACTACGATACACTTGTTCAAAGTTACACGCATGATTTAACGTTTTCGGTAGCTTTCAGATTTTAAAATAATTTAACATTTCCGACGATCGTGGCACACTACAAGGATGTTAGTGGTTTGCCGGTTAAAGACAACCTATTTAAAGAGTCTTCTGACGGTGCAAACTTTTTATTTCTTCAAATAACAACAGCGTTTTTTACTGTATATTGTTAATCACGCGTGTACTAACCTTGATTTTATACGACATACACATCACAACATTTAAATTAATGGTTTTTGGAGTTATTAAACTTCATGTTCTACGTATGTAATAACATAATTCACGATAATAGATCAAGAAGATATATTGCGGCTATACTGAGTTTTTATCTTTTCGGACTGATGGCTGACCCACCAAACAATCGATTTGTATTAAATTTGTTCTATGAAAAGTTAGAGTCATTTTTGATTTGTTGCTGTTGTTGTGGAAAAATAAAATTATGTTCGACGAATATGAACTACCTATCATTTATATTGTATATGGTTTATAATAAAGGCAAACAAAATATTAAAAACATTGTGTGATTATGCAAATTTGTTTGCATAATTGAATGAATGCTATAAAAATGTAAGATCCCCCACTAAAAAATGATTACGTCTTTATCACGCATAACTGGTATAGTCGTAAAAGATTTCTTGTTTCACGAGCCTCGGTTATTACAAATTTGCACAGCGTTTCGCATCGATCAGCTTTCGTTTTCGTTTCCTAGTACGAAATTCGTACACAAATTTTATCGTGGCGAGTACATATAATATATACATAATATTATAATATTCCGATAGCAGTCTTCCCATGCGTCCACGATCGATTTTACTGGCAGTCTTTCGCTTCTGACCACATGGCCTGCCAATTCGGTTTTATATTATTTACAATTATTTTTTTCAAGTCCTGTCACATCAAAATGTTTTCTCTGAAAATCGTCCTACTGAGTACTTACTTCATCTGTACCTATGTATAGTACGCATAATGCTACTATAGGTAATCATGCTCATTCGTTATTCTCTCAGTCCTATGTCATCTCATCAACTTATTATCTTTGCCGTTACACCCCAAACAGGTGCACGTGGCTGCACGCACAACAGCACATTTTAAATATTTCGTGAAAAGCAAATTTGTATTCTTCCGGCCAATATTGGTATAATCGTGATCGCAATGCGTGATGCGCTCTGCAGAGTATAAAAAGGATAAGTGGATATCTATATATATTATATATATATACATATTAAATTCAACGTTTTCGATTATTATACCGCCTTCCATACCCATTATGCCTAACCAAATACATACATACGGCATAATAATAATAATAATAATATGACTGTGGAACAATAATAATAATAATAATAATTGCATGGTTTTACGACCTTTATGTTTACTATAGAACCATCGCGGAACGCATCATCGAGATGCACTCTATTTTAATCCGACCGGTATTTGAAATAATAATACACCGCCGTTTTTGACAATCAAATCCATAATCATTATTGTATTGTTCTTGTTTTAATGATTTATTATATTATATTCCCCATAATACCTACACATATTATAGCCAAGTAATATATTCCGAAACTGTCGATCGACGATGCGTAATATATTATGCACTTATAGACACTTCACATGCGATTACCATCACCTCCCGATGTGGATACCTAATAGTATTATTATACATGTATATCTCGTATAATAATATTATATTAACCAGACGTCCAATATCCTGGTTACGCATTTGGTATGCGTATTTGGTACCGACATACATATTAGTCGACGTCGTACTTACCCTATATAGCTTAGTATTTGTATATATAATTAGCACCTTCCGTGTCTCTCATAATATAGTTTATGTTAAAATGTATTATTATATTATAGGGGTACCTATATTGTAAATTATAGACGGGTTCAACATTGAAAATCGATTTTAGGTGTCTTATTTTATTTTAAATCGAGTGTTCTTTATACGTTTTTACTATGTAAGAACCAGGAGGTACCTATACCCATTTGATCGGTACCTAATAACAACATTGAAAAAACTACAGTTTTAGAAATGTATTAAAATATACATTATACACTCGTGTATATATATTATTATTCAATTTGTACACATTCGATGAAAGCGAACAATAATTTATTTTATTTTATGAGGTGCGGTTATATAATATATATATTTTAAACGTACCACATTACCACTATAATATGAGTTCGAGTACCGATTATAAAATATATGGAAATCCTATAACATGAACTCTATGTATCTATATATATATCTATCTGTATTTCAATCTGAATGCATGTAGATTATTGTAATATTTAACCAAAATATAAATATATGACAAAATATAATATTTTTTATTATAATATACATGATACATAATAGGATATACGCGGATGAACATGTAGGAGTAAATTTACTAGAAAATGTTTTATTATATTCTTATGTATGTATTTCGAGACTCTATACTATATGCTATATATTTTTTGAAATTTTTATTTGGAAAATGGAACTCAGGCTCACCACCAAAACAGTCGACCAACTTTAGTAGGTGCATGGTGGATTTTATTAGTGAGGACATAATAACAAATGTATAGGCGTATTTCGTTTAGCATATTTAAATAGCTACATTTGAATATATTCAACAGTGGAAACGGAAAAGAATTTATAATTTTCAGTTTTATTTGCCATTATAGTTCGTGACAAAATTATAAATTTTATTACACTCTATATTTGACTTTTGGATAACAGTCTTTCGTTTCGATTTCTATGTTTTCGACTGATTTTGGTTGAACAACCTCCAGGTTGTTAAGGTTCCCGTAAACTGTAAAGAGTCTCAATTTTAATTAATTCTAAACGACTATAAATATATACAAATTCGTTAAGTATAAAACGGATTTGGAAAGTTAATACTTATTGTATCCGTTGAAATTAAATATAACTCCAATCCCCTCAAACGAATATCCACCAAGTTAATTACACATTGAATTATTGCTATTTAGAAAGTTTTTTTAAGTATTTAATTCTATTAAGGTTTTTCCATTATCGAAAACTGAACGAATTAAATTTAAAAAAAAACAGGATATGCGAATTAATTAAATGTCGACTTTGCCATGTAACATATTAACGTATATAAGGTCATTAACTGATAAAAGTGTTTTTTTTTTTTTTTAATGTGGAACTTTGATTATTGTTTTGTTATGAAAGCGTGTTCTTAAACAACTAATGTAGGTTCCTACAACCCAGCTATTACATAGGGACTCTAACATTTTAATCAAATGTCACAAAAATGTATTATACCCTCAAGCAGGGCTTAGATCTTGCAGTATTTTTCGTTAAAGGCCCGTTTTTACTTTTTTTTTCTAAAAATATTTGTATATAACAATTACCCATAACATCTCATTTCACTTTTCACTTTGCGAAAATAAAATTATGGTTTTTTAGTAATTTTTTTGACTAATTGACTGATCGACATAAAATAATGAGTATGAAGTTTCGTGATCAGTAGTATAAATTATAAAATTGTATGAATATTCGTAAACACTTCATTGTTCAAAAAAAAAAAAAAAATACAATACAAGTCACTGTAATATAATGCTTATAATGAACATAAAAAAATTCCCAAATCGAAATGCCCAAATAATTTAAATTTAAATTATCACAAAATAAATAATAGTTATTTGGCTATACGGGTAAAACAATTAAGTAGTTGATCATTTGTTGATGAATTAAAAGATGTCGATAAAAGTAATTTTAGGCAAGCGAATGCGTATTTAGTAGTAAGTACCAAAAATAGGAAACATTAAATATTGAATTGAAAACTAGGTACTTATGAACTTTAGAAATTTAAATATTCCTATTAGTTTATTTGTAAGAAAAACGATTATAATTTTTTGGAGGCCCGGGGCCATAGGATCCACAGACCCTCCACTAAATCTAACCCTTTCTGCGGGTATTGTGCCTCTATAGTATGTAAATTACATAAAAATATTCGTGTTTCAGAAATCGCGGCATCAAAGGCTTCAGGAAATCAACGGCAGTAACACGCAGGTGCCGGTGACTGACGACGGTATTCTGCCGCTGCCGACAGTCAAACCGGGCGACGAGTATGTGCAGGAATCAGGCGAAGACGTGGAAGACGATAGTGACGACGACGATGACGACGAAGCCGACGACGACGATGGCGATGAAAGCGACGAAGAGGGTGAGGAGTCAGCAGAAGTATTGGAAAAGCAGAGTGAGTACCTATAAAATAGCAATCAAAACATTCGTTTTCGGCGACCTCTATAACGACATGCACCCTATTATACATTTATAAGTTCATGAGGATGTATTTTAAAAAGTGTACGTCTTAAATGCGTAGACCGCAAAAACAAAACGTAAAACAGCATAATCGTGAAAAAAAATCTAACCACTCTTTACATACTTACACTCACCATTATATTGCAGTATAGACTTTACTTAAACGCTGTTGTCGAACAAACGGTAAAATAGCCTAGACGCCTTGGGACACTTAGATGATGCTAGATACCGTAGACATGCAAAGCGCTAATTTTTTTCCCCTCGAAAAGAGCATTTTTTATCACCCGACTTTGAAACAATGTGTTACACGGAACACACGTGGTCCTCGGAAAGTTTTGAAGGGTGTTACTGCTATGTAAAATAATATAAATTATGTATGGTCTCGGCCGTCGCCGTCGTTTTTCGAATATTCCTGAAGTCACCGCCGCCGCTGCTGTAATATTATTATTGTACATATTTTATCACTTGATATTTGGAAAATGTTCTAATATGGATAATGCTATGCCAACCTGACCTAAACCTTACCTCGAATCATTTACGAATTTATCTATCGACTGACCTGACCTTTGATGTTACGCAATAACCAACCATTGACAACCTCTAACATTTTCCTGAAAATATCGAAAGGTGTTCTGAGATAAAATAATCATCCTCTATTATAATCTAGACTCTATAGCATATATGGTCTGATGTATAATATTATGTGGAAATGAGCTCAAGTGCACAACGTTCGCAAAGAAATACCTATATACGACATCCACGAGTCAAGACCAGTCATCCTGTTCCATGTTCATATTATATTGTAATCGGACTTGGAAACAATTTTAATTACAATACGCCGTATTGTCATTATGCTGCAAGAAAGCATTTAAGTTGCACGCTTGTATGCAATATCTGCTTATACCCATATATATAACACTATAGACGACATAAGTACCTTAATAGTTATAAACTCACTCAAAGTTGTATAATACATATTATATTTAATTAACATCGAATGGACAAATGACTCGAACTTGCAAAATTGCGTACGGACCGGAGAAAGACACCCACAACACCAATTTTGAATTAAAAAAAAAAAAAATGATTTTAACAACGTGTTATGCAGACTACACACATATTTTATTTTAGTTATTTTAATACAATATAAATATTAAATAGAATTATCAAAGAGGTTCAAATATAAATTAAATTTAAACCTAAACCTAATAATACAGTGTGAACATAATATACTTTAAAAAATGCAGGTACCTATATTAGAATGTAGTATATGTTCTCATCATCAGAAGAATAAGATGGTTAAGGCCGTAGGAGGTGGTGTAACTAATGATGGAAAAAGGAACCTGATTGCCTGTAGAAAAAGAGAAAATTCTAAAAGAGACACTCTTGGGAAGATCTGGATCTGGGTTACATTTAAAAAAGAGTCAACGAACCATTGGTCAGCTTCGAAGATAATAGAGTTTGGATGCGAGACACTTCACAGATAGGTGATTATTCATGGTGGGTGATTGGGATATTGAGAATGAAAGAAGTATAAACTAAAAATCTATTTTGATTAAGTTAGAAGCGAATTGGTCTTTTAGAAGGAAATGGTGTCAAACAACCACATAATACTCGAGGTGAGATCTAACAAGTGAAAAGTAGAAAGTACTGAGAAAAATAGAAACTATGTTACGTCTACGTGTTACGCTTAATAAATCCTACAAGGACTTTCAACGCTTTATTTACGGTTAAATCGATGTGATGTTCAAACGAAAGAGAGAAGAGTAGTTTATTTTTAGATCTTTAACTATGAAAACTCGTCGGAGTTGAAATTTTTTTTGGAAAATAGGAGTGAACTATTGGGGGGGAAAATAACTGGAGAAAGAGATTATTTGACACTTATTGAAGTTTCTGAACTTAAGAAAAATTTCACTGGCCCAATGACTGAAAATATTTAGATTTAGCTTTCAATGAGAGAATCAATTTTATGTCGTCACTACTCATCAGCATACGGTACATTTTTCACCTTCTTTAAACGAACAGAAATATAATGGATTAACAGACAAATAAAAGAGGATTAAAATGCTAACCTTGAGAAACTCCAGACGAAACTTCAACTAGACTCGAATGAGTATTATTTAGTTTAACAAATGATTGTGATCTGCCCATGAAATGAGAAGTGAGCCATGATAAAAGTGGGTTTCTTATTCCTAATTTGTCCAGTTCTTTAGAAAGTGAGTTGTGTGATATACGGAATCAAAAAAAATTGCGAAGTCAATCATTATGACATCAACTTAAGGGTTGTTTCGATTCACTCAGTAATGTATAAAGTAAAATATATACGGTTTTTGATGGTAGATTTAACACGCTCAATCAGCATTGTTCCGGATAAGTATATAATAATAAATATTATTTAAATAGACGCGAGACCACTATTTTCCATTTTTTTGATGTACATTTTAATAATGTAGGTGCAATATGCCCCCACCCCTCGCCCTTGCGCTTTGAATTTGTGTAGAAAAAATTAACGTTTATTCGTCTAAAATCGATCAGCATTTTTGTAACCATGCGGCACATAGGTATTTTATTATTAAAAATATTTTGCCGGAAAGTTGGATGCAGCACAGAGATTTATCGCTTATTATATAATATTTTAATACATAGGTATAGTCTCACATAAATATATTAATTTGTTTATTTATTGATGAATTTAACGTCCCTCGGGAAGGTGGATGAATAATACAATTCGAGATAATTCATTAAATATACATGCCGCTAAACATACATAATTTTAACTTAGGCGGAGATTAAATGGTCTCTAAATTATACATAGACATGTGTATATATTATAGAATGTGTTTACGCAGCAACTATGTCGTGGGCATGATTTTCGCAACGTTTAGGACATCTTCACCGGTTGACACGGAATTTAAAAAATATAATATAATATGTGTAACGTAATAATACAATATAAGTATCCGCACTTTGCCGCGGGTACATTGAATCAACCGTTATACATCCAGTTTTGAGCTTACGAGTTTTCGGGATTGACTTCATCGTATAACGCTGCGGATTTCTCGGCAGAATTAATTATTATTCACGCGATGTTTTCGACTCCGTATAATTTCGGCAAACAGTCGAATTGTTTGCGTTACGCGAGAACGCGCGTTATATTATTCGTTCGGGTCTGCTGGGTGTTTTTGTTTTTGCGTTATTATTATAATGACGAGAAACCCGACTAAATAAATACTTAGAAAATAACGTTACTTTTGGCGGATCCCAGCGGAGGGTGTAATTTACGAAAACTCGGACCTGCGATAATTATTTCCCGAGGGAGGGAAACATAACGAACCGCCGCCGTGTGATGATGTGTGTACTTATGCCCACGCCGCCGCCGCCACTGTGTCGTAAATAGTCGCGACCAACGAACGTCGGCGTGTTGACTGCATTATAGGGGCATGACTTACGGTTTTTTTTTTACCACGTCACTATAATAGGTAGTACGATAATAATTGCTATAAACGGCAATGTAATATTATTTTACTAGAATCGTTATATTTTTTTGGTTCATTTTTTTTTGGTATACGGCGCATTATAGCACGCGACTAGCCCGGGCCGATTATTTTTAATACCTGTTCGTTAATAATTATTATTATTTGATTTCACCCTCGTTATTGAAATGGTTTACGATTTGCACACGATATAGGTACTCGTATGCATTCATAATATTATATTAAACATTATCGCAAGCGTATTGTTATGTTGTTATTTATCGTTAATACAATCAAATTATAGGTAAAATTGCTCATGGGACATTATTATTATTATATATTGTATTGTTTGCCGAGTCGCAGTTCTAGTTTATACGACGAATATAACACAACACTTAGTGTGGTTTTTTTGTTCATTAGGGCTTCAACACGGCGTAGCTTGTATCTACGCGCATTACCTATCGAACCTAACCTTATATTTTAAAGTCATTTAGAGACTATTTCTCCGTAGCCATGGACGCGAACAGGGCGTACCTTAGACACTGTAGTTGAAAATGTTGCTCCAAATTTTTAAATCAATATTGAAAATAAAATTGTTGTGCATTTGGAAAAAAAATTGGAGTTCAAGGTCTCTCTGACTTTTTATTTTCGCCAATTCCCGTGGATAAAGTTGGTAAAATTGTAGACGGATAAAAAGATTAAAAAAACTTTCAAGTAGGTACATATTTGAATAAAAAAATTACTGTAATAATAAAAATGGGTAGGTAAATATATTAGACATTTCATAAGTCATTTTAGCCACTTTATCAACTCTTTTTTTATTAAAAATCAAAACACTTTTATTGCACCAACTTATTACCTATGACGATCCAAGGGATAGGTAACAATATGTACAGTAAACAAAATAATAAAAATAAAAATTAGGACATTTTTCTTCTCGCCTTCCCAGTTCCTATGGGCAAAATTATCAATTATTATTTGATGTTTGATTTTTTTTATTTTCACCATTCAATAAATAAGTATACCTACTCTGGGTGTGCCTAAAGTATAGTTGTGTCGAACAAGTTTTGTATTTTCCTTGGCTTAACCGTGGTATGGGTTGGAAAGGGCGGTTCTTTTGTAATAAATACCTATAAAAATTGATATTTATCAGACTGTTATAATTTTATACTCGTATATATTACCCATATACTATACCTATAATTAATTTAATCATAATGTTTAATAATGAGTTGTGTACTTGGGTAGTAGAATGTAGATCGTAGTCTTAGCAAAACAAATGATTATAGAATAGAATTATGAAAGTTTTCAGAAATATTTGAATTTTATGCGGGTGTGTTTGTGCGTGCAGAGATTGGTCCAGGCGTAACAATCAAGCATATCGTATGAAGATTCACCGTTTAAAATAGAAAATCATATGGCAAATCTATTATCACTTTCCAGGAATTTGTTGTTATTGAGT